CTCGTCGCCTCGTCTTCGCGCATTGTGGTCGTTTCTTCCGGTGCGGTTCAGAGAGTGCAGGATCCTGGTTTGTCTGCTCGCCGTCTTTATCTCAGGTAGTCTTACTGACACCAAAAAAAGGAACCCTAGGACAGGATCTCCTTCACGGCTCAGGAGTCGCAGGGCACGACACCTACTCTCAGACAAAGTTCGTGCAGCTCCTCGGTGCCCACTGGTGGCGCCGTCAGCTCTCCAACACCGGGTGCAAAGTCGTGGCCGTGTCACCCGGTTTGGTGCCCAACACCGGAATCGGCAAGGGCTCTGGCATGAATTTGACCATGGATATGCCGGATGCGAAGACGGTAAGCCAAGGAGCGCAGAGCATCCTGGCGGCTTTTACGAGAGACGACCTCCCCGAAGATCCGGAACAGATCTTTCTGACGAGTTGGGGTGAGTGGTGGTCCAAAGATGTGTATGGAAAGACGTTGGATCAGGGATTGCAGGATAAATGGTGCCCGAGCAAGGAGGAGATTGAGAGGGAGGAGGGGCTGTGAGAAAGAAATGAAGCCTTCGTCAAATCAGACGCAGGCAAGACGCTTCATCCGTAGGTAGGGAGAAAGGGGGAAAGGCTTGCCACGGAAACGGTGCTGAGAGAGTCAGGTAGTGACAGGACTCAAGGTGCCAAAGGAGTGACTGGAATTTTTGTTGTAGAACAAGTATTACCACCGATAATGACATGCTTTTTGCCTCCCGAGCTTTTTTGGGGTATCGCTCTAATTATCGTGAGAATATGCAAGTGACAGAGAGAAGAAAGACATCCAAGGGGACAAGACACCAGAAATTCGTGAATGCTAAAGCTTGAGCAGACTTCCTCCGACCAAAAATGATTGTGAAACGTAGCTGCAGGGCGGTTTGGGACCCTCAAGGGATAGGTCGGGACGTGGGGATCGACCCAGGGAGTTCATATCCCAGAAAACGTTGTGGAGAAGAGTTGTCGACGATATGGTCTAGATCATAGACTGATGGAGAGCCAACTAGCTGTGAGAATCATGGTTACTATGGGTCACTTGAGAAAGATTTCTCAGCTTCCAATCAGTCACTTACCGTAGTCTGGTCCTCCTCCATCTCCCAGTTTGACTCGTCGGCATTGTGGGACATGAAGCCAAGTCGTTCTTCGTGGGAATAGAGCCTCAGGATCTTTGCCATCATCGGTCTGAAGAATGACCGAAGCTCTCGATTGGCGTTGCTGCCCCTCCTGCTGATGTGTGTGCTCCGCGGCTGACCCATACTGTTGGCAGTGTTGGTACGAACCATTGCTGTCTCGGTGTTATGCAAAGCCAATGAGTGGTTCAAGGATGCTGCTTTTGATTTGGGCTCGTGGTCAGACTGTAGCCTTGATCAAAGTCTTTGTGGTTTACCTACCATGCCTCAGCTGTCTCGCTGTTTCTGTCTGTCTTCTGTTGGAGGTTGGCGTCACAGTATCCCTAGGCCAGGAGTCAGCTGGATTCAATTCTTTCTGTCCGAGTCACCAAAATTGAAACTCTGACGCACATCTCAACAAGCTTCTTTCCGAGCTGAAGCTTCAGCTTGAAAGACTCCATGGGGCCTTCCAACGCTTTCAAGCTTTCCTTGGCCGACGCCAGCGCATTTTGCGAAGCCCGAGATCCGGCACGATGTTGGTCGAAAGTCTTGAACGCTTTGTTCAACGCAGTTAGATGCCTCCGTACGATAGTCGAATCTTCTCTCAGGTGCGAGAAGAACTCTTCCTCAACCATGCACCGCACTGATTCCGAGTCGGGGTCCCTGTCGCAGTGATCTTTGATGACATGGTATGCAGAGGTGATTGCTGTTGAGAAACGGTCATATCGGTCGGCAGTGCGCTGTTGGCGAATGCCGGGAAAGTCTCTATGTGTATCCCCCAGGTATTTGGCACTTCGTCTGGCTGCTCTGGCAATCTCGTCGAGGGCAGGCACGTCCGCAGACATTGTGCTCAATAAGAATAAGATAGCGGCTTGGTGGTATTTTTGGTTCACTCTGTCTCAGATGCTGGTATCGAGATAGGGTTGTTTTTTGTGAATCCAGATCAGACTTCTGAAAAGCTCGGAGAGGGAATTTGGAGGCACAAAAATAAGCTGCACATTCTCCAACGTGCAGAATGCAAGCCAAGCCCTATTCCATAATGGACACACTGATGCAGCTTAACAGCCAACCACGTGCACTTGGCATTGAAGTTGAGGCGGCTTGCTTCTTGGCCACATACGCTCGAATCCATCTGACCGCACAGTCCTGCGACAGCCCTGCATCTCTTTCAGGGCTGGTACACACGTAAACAAGAATATCACGTTTCCCGCCCGCATCGCGCTTTCAGCACCTTTCTTCACTTTTGTCCAGCGTCAGACAAAGACAATTTTCAGGGCTAGATACATTTCCGAGTATGCCTCACCCGACGATTGGCTGGCACGGCTCATAAGACAATGGCGTCAACGAGGCGGTAAAGCACCCCGGACCATGGCCGGACGATAGAACTCAGAGGAAGCCCTATTTATTACACGTATCTAGACTATAAAAGATATCGAAAGGCCAGGGATAAAATCTCAACAATCACACGGGGTTGCTGTGCAACTTCTTGAAGTGTAATTTCTGAACAATTAATGGCAACGAGTGAGTTCGACCTCGCGCACCTTGCAGCAGTTTTGAAAAGAGCGACTTGCTTGGGCTCCACAAGAATTCCAAGATTGCAGCACTTCTTTCTGAGTCGAGCGTGCCATGTGGATTCAACATGTGGGACTTCTTTTATAGGAAACAGGCCAAGTTGAGAATATATATAGGCCTTTCTGGGGGGAAAGAGTTGGAACCCCTGAAAATACAGACGCCCTCAGGATTCTCGAGTCCACAAAAATTCAAGAGTTATGCATGCTGTGCAAGAAACTTTGGTGTTGTTGTATATGGCCTAAATACTCAAAGATCCTGGTATTTCAACAGCACTCGGCTCTAATCTTCTTTCTATGTGTAGTCTCTCTTCGCGTTCCTTTAGTGCATTTTCACTGTCTTTGGCAAGCTGCTCCAATTCATCGAGTCGCTTTTGTCTCTGAGACAAATATTCTTGCCTCATTTGCTGTGTATTTAGCAGTTTCTCCCCTTTTTGTCCAGTTGTGCCTTTAAATTAGCCAGCTCCGCTTCTTTGACGCTCTGAGACTCCACGAAAACCAGACATAATGGTCAGTTCATTTGGTTTGCCAACAACACAACTTGGAACTGAAGTTGGGCGAAGTCAAGAAAATCATGGAGTACGGGAATACATACCAGACATTTGAATCACTAAATAAGAATAAAAAGACCTCCGAATCGTGTGGTTCAGCCACGCATCTGCCTGTTCAGAGACCATACTTTATGTTCATTGAGCTTCCAAGAGCTAAAAACCTTCAACAACATAACACGGTCGGGCCTCTTCCTCTTGGTGTGGTTTAATTTACCTATGCTCCCTACCTGTATATACATCATGTATGCAGGATTACGACGGCAGATATGTCACTTTCTTGGATTTCAAATTACCAAGATGCAAAGCGTGATGAATGGGGTTTCTGTATCTGAGTATTTGGAGCACAGCAAATGAGGTCAACATTGCCTGCCGAAACTTTGACAACGATAAGGCTTGCTTCGAATCTATGAGTGTAAGGAAGGGCTATAGGTATATATGTACAGATCTACACTAAGGTAGTCATGCGTGATCAGTCCACTTCGTCGGCGATCTCGGCTCCTTCCGGAGGAGTAAAGGACGGGCTGCCGGCCCAGGCCAGTGCGACGTATCTGAGTTTACAGTATGTCAGTAACCACCTCGAAATCTTGGTGCGTATCGGATACTGACTTGGTATGGCTACCCCTGGCAGCAAGCTCGCCTTTGTCGTTTGTGAAGGTGACGGTTGTGTACGCAAGCGTCCTTCCAACTATTTCCCAGGATCAGTTACCAGGCGAAGAGATTCAAACATGCTCAAAACTTACTCTTGTCGCAGGTAGCAGTGGCCTTGATAGTATCCCCGACCTTACCACCACCACTAAGGTATGTGACATTCAGGTCGGTCGACACACCAGTTGCGTACAGCCCCATGGAAGCTACAGCCAGCGAGCCACCCAAGTCAACCATGCTGGCAATGGTACCTCCATGGATAATCTTTAACCTATTCTGTGGAGCACATTAGCTTGCTGTATCCAGTAAAAGGGGCTTCAGGGTAGTCAACAATACCGTATGATCTTTGGTAATGTCCAGCTCAAACTCAACCTTGCCCTGAGTGGCATCGGTGATGCGCATCTTCACAAATAATTAGTTGAAAGATATACCACCGAAACTGGGGCAGACAGAATCACTTACATGTGGTCCAAAGAGTCTACGTCGAGGGTTAGTTGTGAGAACTACAGACAACCCTGATGACAGTGCGCAATTACCTCGGCTCCAACCCCGACTCGGCCATGAACGACTTCAACACCTGTTTTTGTTTTGCTTCCAATTAGCTCATATACATTTCTTTTCCCATTATTCATGTTCTCATACCGATCTCACGAATCTCGCTGGCGGCAATTTTTTCGACATTTTGATTGATGAGGTAGGTGGCTGACTCCCAAAGTGTTGTTCGGATCGCGGAATGGGAGAGCGGGCACTTCGGCAACAAGTAACCGACGAAATCAACTCTTTGGGCCCGAAAAGCCATTTCCCCACAGTGAAAGCCAACAAACTCCCCCACTGTGACGTCGTCAGCATCCCTGGCAAACTCGACCGGCAATTACCCGAGTGATCCTTGCCACTGGGTTTTGCAGGGGTCTTGGTTGACTGCACACCTGCAAACACTCACCACATCACAATGCACCCCGCGCCTTCCACAATAACCTCAACTAAAAGAAGCCACGGGAACAGACCGCTAGCACAGCCCAAAACCTCAGGTACCTTTGGCTGTTGGATGATAAAAAACAAGATCGCAAATTAGAAAAGAAAGAAAAAAGAGAAAAAAAAAAGGAAAAAAGAAAGATGATGTCCCCAGTCGGGTTTGAACCGACGTCTCTCGCTGATAACCGCTGTCTGAAAAGCCAACGCTGAGGAAAACAACGCTAAGCAGCAAGTGCGTAACCACTCCGCTACGGGGACATTGGTTCCGTCTCAGATTTCTCATCTATATACCCAGGGCGCAGTTGAGTACGTTGTGGTTATGGTGGACACAGCGTTGCGTGGCGGCTTACTGGCACCAGACTCTGTCGTCAAGTCTTGTCTGCCATGAGCGTTACCTTACTTACCGTTCCCAACCGTCCGGATCTCTTGCTGTTCAGGATCGGTCATTATCTGTCTCCCACTACATGGCCAGATATTATATCAGTGAGACAGCGTACATGTACCCAGTATCCTTGCCTCCCGTCCTCTTTGGAAAGTTGGTTCAAGCCCGAATCTTGGCTTTATCAAAAGGAGTGATTCCCTCTCGTCATGGAAAACAAAGCCGCATAAACCGCGTACTCCTTCCTGTCTGAATACCGTCCGTCACCGTATGACAAAACTTGATCTCTCTGCTCAAATCTCGGAACACTGAATACATTATTATTATTAGACACTCCGAAGATACCTCACAGATCTGAACTCAAGTCGCGCCGTTCAACGCTACTATCCTACGTAGGTAGTAGATAATAACTGATATCCGCAACGATCGGAATTTATTATGTATATGTATCTACCACTTCCCTTTTCTTTGAAAAGTAATAATAGAGTAAGGTTCCACTTTTCTAATCAAAAAAGAAAATATAAACTCCCATTGCCCAAGTCGCATCAAAGATGAAGTCTAAATAATACTTTTTCCAACTCAGTACCTATTTAACTAATACTTTGTTGCTATCAATTCCATGAGTGCATAATTTTTTTTTTTTTTTTTTTTTTTTTTCCTTCCTTCCAGCATGTGGAAACAGAGTGAAAGTTTAGAACAAGCCCTTTTTCACTTATCTCGGTCCATGCCACGAAAACGGACTCAACTCACACATAAATAATTACATGCAGATCTGAACAGGTTGGAATGCCTGCAACAGGGAAAAAGAAAATGAACAGAAAACCAGAAATTGCCATCAGTTCAAATTCCAAAAGTAAAACCTCATTTTCCTGATTAGCCTCTTAAGAGTCATGTAAATTGCTTTAGGTCAACCCAACAAACACACCACACATCTCCCGCCCTAAAACAGACACAACTGTCGCGCGTGCACACACACGCACACACACACACACAGAGAGAGAGAGAGAGAGAGAGAGAGATCAGAACTAACAATGAGCAAGGTAAAACACGAAATCCTCTTACTATTACTCGCCAAATCTAATTCAACGTCATGGCGAAATAGAATATATATACTCCCAACTCCCAACTCCATCCAACTCCAATAATCAACATACCATACCTCTGCCATGCAACTACACGCTCACGTTCCTCTAAGTAATCAACATTCTGTACCAGTTCTCAAAGCCATAACGAAATAGAATACAAAATATTCCACCAGCAACAACATCCAACCCTAATAATCAACAACATACTATACAGGTACGCCTGCCATGCAACTCCTATCACTCCATGTCCTCGTTGCCCCTTGGTTTCCCATAATCACCACGCAATATCATACCATGCCACGCAATTTTCCACAATGCCATGTCCTCGTCGTTTCCCGAATATGCATATATCTATCCATCAACTCCCAATAACCCCCAATTTACCATGTCTCCCAGTATCCCTTCCTTCTTACCCCGACAAAATACTCGACCCCCTTCCCCTAGTACCACTGACACCACCCAACCCCAACACCGCCCCCCCCTTCCTAATCACAACCCCTCCTGCTCCTCCTCCTCCTCCTCCATCCGTTTCATTCCCTTCACTAACCTCCTCAAGATGATGATGCTGCCTGGCTGCACCCCCCTTCTCCTTTCTATATACCGGCATGCTTCTGTTCCCATCTCTATACCCTCCTCCCTCCTCCCTCAAATCCCCCAAAACAGGCGCTCCCCCATCATCTCCACTACTCGTGCTCGTCGTCGTCGAAGTACATGTAGTATCGTTCCCCTGCTGATAAAATACCGACGACGAACCCCCAACCAAACTCCTCCTCAACCTCCTCACGATCCCCCTAGCGCCATTCAACCCTTTCCCTCCCCCCTGAGTAGAAGACCCCCGAGCATTCACACTTCCAACCGCGACATGTCCACCTCTAATCTCACCCCCGCCATCTCCCATCTTCGGGTTCCCTCCACCACCGCCACCAAACCGACCAGAGAGAACCATCCTCTCCCCAACAGGCAACAACCCGCTCCTCCTCGTCTTCCTCGCATACCCGGCCTGCCACCTCTTCAACGACTCCCTAGCCTCCTCAGTCACACACAAAGCTTCCAAGTGAATAAACACCCTCTTGCACCTCGCATCGTCATCCTCAAGGTTACTCGCCAACGCCTGTCTCTGAGCCGTCGTATCCCTGGCCGGCCTCGAATAGTTCCCGCTAAAGTATCGATGCTTGGGAACTTCGGGAGGAACGTCATCATGTTTCGAGCCCAAAATGATCGGCAACGCCGTATTTCCATGATCTTGCGCTAAAGGCAATTTAGTAATCCCCTGATCATAGGAAGGCGGCCTCGAAGAAACTTTGGTAACCCCACTGTATGGGGTATACGTTCTCGAGCTCGCCCTCGTGCTGCAATGAGGCGTCGTCTGCAAGATGGCGCCGCTCGTAGCGGACTGGGGTATGCGGCTCTGCGTCTGGGTGGTTGCTGTTCTTTTCTGCTGACAGGGAATAATTCCCCTGCTCATAAAGTTTGGCGCGGGCGCAACGCGCGTTACAGAGTACGCCGAGACCGAGGGGTTATTCTGAGCAGCAGCGGCGCCGGATCGAGTTCTGTTGCCCTGGAGAGAATATCGGGCAGATTGAGCTTCGAGAAGGACGTCCAGGTTTTGAGACATCAGGAGCTCGTTGTGGAATTTGTCGTGGAGAGACACAAATCTTCCAGCCCAATACTCGGGGAGCATGGCGGTTTTGACAAGACGCGGGTTGTCTGGTAGCGGTGGAGGAGACGAAATAGGTTCTGATGTGGTGGGCTCTTGATAGCTCTGACTATCGGCTAGAAGAGGCTCCAGAGACTTCCTCGTGACGGGAGGGGAAGGCCTGTGACGAGGAGGAGGATCAGGCGCCGGGGTCTGGGATCTGTGTCTAGTAGATGTGCTGACGTTGCGACTGTTGGAGAAGGACTGGGTGATGCTAGAAAAGACGCTAAAAGTTTTGGACTTGGGAATGCCTGGCCGACGTTGATGCGCTGCTAGGTCTGCTTCATGATTTTCGAGCGGCCGAATGTTCTCGTTGTGGTATTGGTTGACCTTGCTCAGAAACTGAGGAGTCTCGTCGGCTACCGATGCGGGCTTGTGTTGAGAATATGTAGATGCGTAATTAGACTTGGTCTGCGTGCGGTGAGACACTGTAGGCCTGTGATGAGAAAATGTAGGTCTGTGGTGAGAAAATGTAGGCATGCAGTTAGTAAGGGTAGCCATGTCATGCTTGTATTTAGTAGCGCCGAATGATGATTCAGAGGTGCTGGAGTCGTAACCTGAAGGCTGCTCGCGGCCCGTCACTGATCGGATGGAGCTCCGGCGCTGTGACCAGGACGAAATCCGACTCTGTGCCCATCCTGATCTTTTAGTAGGAGGCTCCATGACTGGATTATGTGTTTGGTAGCTGACAAGAGAGCCACAAAAGCAGCACCCAGCAGACCGAGAAGCTGGAAGCCAAAGATCACCCAGATATCCGCGAGCTGAATGAAAGCGACGAGGTCCGTTTTGAGGGCGCACTTGAGAACCAGAAATGTCGAACGCGTTGAAAGCAACCAGACTCGAATGGTTGCAGACAAGATACGACCAAAAGCCAAGGTCAGCAGTGCCACTATCGAGATAATCTCTTTGACAGCAATGACACCCTCCTTTGTGGAAGGTTCACTCTGGGTGAAGCTGCCTGCCATGGGGTGTTAGTCGAAACTCGAGTGATGGTGATGATGATTGAGCTGGTTGTCTGAGCAAAGAATGTGTCGGGGAATTGATGGAAGGGTCAAATCGAGAGAGCTGTGGTATCCGGATAACCGCCAATAATAGTAGAAAACTGACATGGGCAAACAGAAATGTGATCGAGGAGAAGTGGGCGGATGTCATGAGTTACGCACCTGAGGCTGGAGAAAGAGACGCTCTTGAAGTCAAGGAAAGGTTGGCCGCGCTGATGAGGGGCAACGTTTGCAAGTGTGTTCGAAAGCAATATCGAATGGAAGTGGCAGGTGTTGGTTTGAAAGGGTAGAGTGAGAAGTCGACGTCGCTGCGGCGACTGCTCTGAGTGCGGCGGACAACGTGGTTGTAAGTCGGGAAGGAATGAAGCAACAGTCGAAAGCGTACCTCCAATGGATGGCGGCGCTTTCGTTGGAACCGCAAAGGTATTTTTACTGTGAACGTCATTTTGAGATTGCGGCCACAATACGCCCGCTGGCAATAAGCATAAATCGCCCAGGAAGCCAAAACACCACATCAACCGACCACAAGAGGAAAACACCGACACTGGACCGAGACTTTGCTATTCCTACCCGCAACATCAGCTACGACGTCGCCAAAACTGCATCGGATAGCCCAGAATAAAACAAGAAGAAAAAATATCACATTTCTTTGGCTGAGAGACAAACCGCCCTCGGGGGCTCAATTCTAAGATCCAAACACACGACAACCTAAAGTACCCAACCCTATCCCGCCGCCCTTGGTACCTGGTATCCATATTGTGTGGTTTCCAATCCCAACATATGCTCTACCATTCTTGTCTGTCTAATTGGGGAGATCCCTCTCCCATCCTTCGATCCTGAACTTGAAGGTCTCGTCCCCTTCTCCACGAGGAATGGGATTGCCGTTAGAATCCCAAAGAGCTCTTTCAGTGTAAGAAACATTCCCATGCCAGTCAACAAGGATGATTGTCTGCCGTTGTGTGCCATAAAGACCAGTCTGGAAGCCGTTTGGTGCGTCGTCTGGTCGTGCCACAATAGCGAGTGCCTCCGCGCCAGGTGAGTCCTTTCCAGACTTGGTTACAGTCCCACGTTTTCGTGCCTCCTCCATCTCGTCCTGG